AAGCGCTTGCCGCACTCACAGGTGTAGGGCTTCTCCCCAGTGTGCGTCCGCCGGTGCACCTGCAGGTGCTGCCGGCGGCTGAAGCTCTTCCAGCAGTCCCCGCACTGGAAGGGCTTCTCGCCCGTGTGGCTCCTCTGGTGGACCTCCAGGTGGTGCCGCTGGCTGAAGGTCTTCCAGCACTCGCCGCACGCATACGGCCGCCTGCCCAGGTGGGTCCGCTGGTGCTTCAGGAGGTACTCACGCAGCGCGAAGCCTTTCCCACACTCCCCGCAGCCGTAGGACTTGTCTTCTTCGTGGGTCCGCTGGTGTCTGACCAGATTTGAGCTCCGACTGAAGCCTTTTCCGCACTCGGGGCACTGGAAAGGCTTCCAGAAGGAGCTGTGGGTCTTGAGGTCATCAGGCAGGGGGGCAATGCCGCGCTGGGGAGGGGGCGGCCCAGGCGCGTTCCCCACTGAGCTCCCGGCCTCCTGCTCACAGGTTCTTCCGAGCTCCAGGACCTGGAGAGAGGCTTCCCCAAACTTCTCTGCCAGCCCCCGAGCAAGCGGCCCCTTGGGGTCTGCCGGCTGGGTCTTCACCTCCTTTTCCTTGCTCCCCAGGCCTACAGGACAAAGGAGATACAGACCGATACTGAAACAGATCTGAAGGTAAACTTCCATGTTAGAACCTGGCTTCTAAGGGTGTCCCACTAACAATTCCTTCTTTTTTCCTTTAACCAACAACCTCAGTACATTTGACTTTCTCTGACTCTAAAACCAGACATTCCTTTACTTCTTTCCACCTGTTACGGACTGTTTGTGTTCCCTCCTAAATTCACAGGTTGAAGCTCTAAGCCCCCAGGTGCTGCTATTAGGAAGTGAGGCCTTTGGGCACTAATTAGCTGAGGGCATGAGGGTGGAGCCCCCAGGATGGGATTATGTCCTCTAAGAAGAGAAGCCAGAGCTGGCTCTCTGCACCCAGAGGTCATGTGAGCATGATCCTTCACGATGGGATTAAGGTCCTTATAAAAAAAGGAAGAGACACAGGATGTCTCTCTCCCTCAGCCACGTGATGACAAGGCAAGAAGGTGGCCACCCATGAACCACGAAGAGAGGCCCTCGCCAGACAACAAATATGCCAGCAACTGGATCCTGGACTTCCCAGCTTCCAGAACTGTGAGATATAAATGTCTGTTGTCTAAGCCGCCCATTCTCTGGTATTTTGTTACAGCAGCCCAAGCTCAGACAATCTCCATGCCCTTTTACGGAACAGTCTGCTAAATTTTAATGCCCTCCCTCTTAACTTCCTACTAGGTCAGATTTTGCTTTCCTTCAAAATCTAACTCAATGGTTTCCTCTAAGGAACTTGCCCCGATTACTGCCCATCCTGGGTCTCATCAACACATATACTCAATTTGCACCGTTTATTCCACACTTACTTATGACTGACCTTGTTGCACGTGCTATTCTACAGTCATCTGAGATGTTCAGCTTCCCCAGGATCACAGACCTGTTCCAGTAATGGGGAGCTCCCGGCACTGCACGTCCTCCCTCAGCTCACTCTCCCTGCTCGCACTGTGCCCTCCACCTCACCCTGTTTTATTAACCTGGGTCTCTGGGAGCCTGGCACAGGGACTGACTCAGGGGAGACGCTTCATGACTGCCGGATGAGTGAATGAACCCAGTCTGTACCAGACTACCTCTATATCGGCGTATTTATTAGGACTGAAAAGCCCTTCTGCAAGTCCTTCCTGTGATCCCTCTTATACCCTCTCTAAATTAATAGTTGTTTACAGAAGATCAAGAGGAAGGGAAGGAGAAGAGAGAAAAGAGGTACTAGGGAGCAAACGAGCCAAAAAGAAAAGAAGAGGGAAATGACAGGTGATGCTTAAACGGGAAAGAGTCGTTTCAGGCAAGCCCATTAAAAGATAAAGGGAGGGACTTCCCTGGTGGCACAGTGGTTAAGAATTGTCCTGCCAGGGGACTTCCCTGGTGGCGCAGTGGTTAAGAATCTGCCTGCCAATGCAGGGGACATGGGTTCAACCCCTGGTCCAGGAAGATCCCACATGCCGCGGAGCAACTAAGCCCATGCACCACAACTGCTGAGCCTGTGCTCTGGAGCCCGCGAGCCACAACTACTGAGCCCACGTGCCACAACTACTGAAGCCCGTGCGCCTAGAGCTTATGCTCTGCAATGAGAGGCCACCGCAATGAGAAGCCCGCGCACCACAATGAAGAGTAGCCCCCACTTGCCGCAACTAGAGAAAGCCCGCACACAGCAATGAAGACCCAACGCAGCCAAAAATTAATTAATTAATTTTTTTTAAAAAAAGATAAAGGGAAAAAGGACATTTCACGCCTCGTGATGTGATAAGATATGAAGGACACAGCTCTCACTTCTGATGTATTCCTTTATTTGGCACCTTTCACAAAAGTAGGTGTGCAAAACATAAAGAGCTGAAAGAATTTTCATAATGAAGGTGACCATTAAATAGCAGCCACTTCAGGAAATAACATCACCAGCACCCAGAAGCCCCTCCCGTCCCCTCCGGTGACTGGTGACACCATCCTGCCCCCAGGTAATGTGTTATCCAGGCTTTTATCACCATAAAGTATGGTGATAAAGTTCCCAAACTTTACATATTTGATTCACACATTGTGTCTGCTGCTTCTGCTCAGTATTATGCCTGTGTGATTCACCTATATCGTGGTGTAGCTGTAGTTGCACTACATTCTCTCTAATCAGTGTACGACGTTATACTCTAAGAGTGTATGACACTCTCCTTATTAATCTGGCCGATATTCATCTGGGTAGTTTCCAGGTTTGAGGTGTTATGAACAGCAAAATTAAAATTAAATGCAATGCATGAACCTAACTGGATGTGGGGAAATGTGAGTACGAGCTAGATATCATGTATCATGGAATTTATGTTTATTTTCTCAGGCCCAATCCTAGACAGTTGTCAATGCAAGAGCTGCAATCACATGGGAAGAACTCTCAGGAAGACTCAGGGTTGAGACGGCTAGAGGATGCTATGCTTGGGAAGCAGACCTCCGGCTCACCCAGTCTCAGCGTAAAACGTTAGGGAAGTACGTGGGTTGTTTTGAAACAGCGAGCGGATAAGAGGACAAGCATAAAGCCAAAGTCTCTAGAACAGTCAGAATGGCCAGGAGGGTGTAAAAACTTGCTGGGAACACAGTGGCACCCTTGGCAGAGGCCCATCCCCAGCGCCAGGATGAAAGCGCTAGGATGCTGGCACCTCCATGGGTGCACCACGCACGGCTCCTGCGCTCTGCATTTACCTCAGAGGGGTTCCACGTCCTTTGCCATCACAGAAATCGCACATCTCTTCATCATGGGTGACAGCCTTGTACTGGACCCAGGCCTCCCAAGCCACCACCCCCGCCCAGTATACTGCCACTGCCACTACTCTGTGATGACTGCTAGTCAAAAATCCACATTTAACTTTACAGTCGGCCCTCCGTATCCAAGCTTCCTCATCCGCAGATTCAACCAAGAGCAGATCATGCGGGACTGTAGTATGTATTCATTGAAAAAAATCCACATGTAAGTGGACCCACACAGATCAAACCTCTGTTGTTAATGGGTCGACTGTACGATACTTTTGCATGTTTTAAGATGAAACATGTTTTAACATGTTTTACGATGAAAAAAGACCAGGAGACGTCAGTACAGGTGAGTGGTCAGCACATGACTTACAAAGAAGTGATGAGAGGAGGAAGGAGAGAATCAGAGGGAACAAAGGAGGGGGCCCTTCGCAGCCACAGTTCCCCTCTCCCCACCGCCCACCCCATCCAAGCCGTGAGCCTGTCACCCCTCGTCCCTAGCCCCCCGCAGTGTTCACCAGCTGTCCCTGGGGGGCCCTGGTGTGCACTTCTCAGGCTCACCCTTCCCTCCTACCTTCTCCTGCTGCTTCTCCCCAACAAGCACCTTTCCTCCCAGCTCTGACCCCAGGTAAAACCCGGCTGCCACCTGAGATGCCCGGCCGGGGCCCTGCTTGCTCTGCAACACCAGCCCACACCAGCCCCTCCCACTGCTGAGATCCCACTGCAGCCCCGTGCCCTCCTGCACCCACACACTGTGGGCTCCAAGGTTTCATGAACGTCAGTCCTGCCCCAACACAGAACTGCTAACATGGGGCCTGCACACAAGGGAGCGCTCCATAAACACAGGCTGGTGAAAGAGATCAGAGGATCCCCCTTTCACTACTTTTCTCTTGCTCTCAAGCCCTCAGTCCCCTTCAACTACAGACACAGTAGGAGTTCGTTCAGGGCATCCTAACGACCGACCTGTCTCATTTCAGCCAGAATAACTACCTGGCGTTTTCTTGCTGCTTGTCTGCTCCTCTCCTGACCCAGGAAAGCACCTCGCCAGCTCCTATGTGCCTTGGTCCACGCGCTTTCCACAGACCCATTTACTCATCTGCCATGATATTCCCTTCCTTTATCAGTAGCATCAGGTTCTGAAATCTGGGGCAAGGACAACAACCGTGACCTACAGCTTTCACAGCTCCTCAGTTTCTTACCTCCGGGATGGAAACAGTCTTACCTGGAGGTGAGACCCCGCAGTCCTGGGGCTCCACGTACTCCCCAAGGCAGTCTATCTGGGCTGGGGACACGTGCCTCCACTCCTCCTCGGGGAAAGCCAGGGCCATGTCTTTAAATGGGCCCAACCCCTGAAACAGCACAGGAGACGGCTATGGATAAAGAAATAATCCCGAGGCAGGAGCAGTGGAAAAGCAGAGAGACACAGGGGACAACATTCCAGGGGAGAACAGAGCAGGAAGACAGAAGGAACGCGGGTCCCTAGATGGTTCCGAGTGGGGCCAGAAGGGCCTCCCTCTCGACAGTTTAATGGTAGAGAACGATGGACTTGTCTGAGCCACTGTATTTTTGAGCCTCTGCTGCAGCCACTTGGCTGGTACCCAACAACTGTGGCCTCTAACTTCCACCATTCAATCACCTCCACTCGATCCTCATGTTTGATGGAGACTGGGGGCTGCTGTTTAGCCCCTCAACCAGAACAGACTTTCCCTCAGAGATAAGTAAAAACTCAGGCTGGCCCTGCCTTAAGAACAACGTTGTGTTGAAATCAATGTGTCGTCATGACACCGTGAAGAACTACTGTGGTAGAAGGAGAGGCTCTCTGACCAAATTCAAAAACTTTGATGTCCTTTCTTCATCTCCTCTAAACAATATGATTGGAAAACAGAAACAGCAAACAGCACAGGCATCAACCCTTTGCCCAAATACGGCTTTAGTGAGCTCAAACTTTTGTCACTTCTGGGAATTCCCACAGGAGGGGCCAGAGAGACCACGTGGCTCGGGGCTCCTGGGAGCGCCCACCCGAGTCGCTTCCCTCCTGCTGGCGTGGGGGGAGGATGGGGTCCAGAGGAAGAGCAGCGGCAGAAGTATCCATAAAGCGCATCCACAAAGGGCTACTGACCTCCTGGCCATCCACCACACCCCAGATCACGCCTCCCGGATTTCCACCACTAATGTCTTCCTCCTCACAATTACAAGAGTAATACTGAGTCGATGGAGGAAAAAAAAGAAAAAAAAAACAAAGAGTAATCCAAATGAGTGAACTGAGCCTCATGCCTAGACCCTAAGGCAGGGGTCCCCAACCTCCAGACCGGTACCGGACCGCGGCCTGTTAGGAACCGGGCCGCACAGCAGGAGGTGAGCGGTGAGCGAGTGAAACTTCCTCTGCCGCCCCCGTCGCTCCCCATTGCTTGCAGTACTGCCTGAACCGTCGCCCCACAGCCATCCGTGGAAAACTTGTCCTCCACGAAACCAGTCCCTGGTGCCAAAAAGGTTGGGGACCGCTGGCATAAGGCTCAATTCAAATTAATAACTGAGGATGTAAAGTGGAGAAAACGAAGCTGTCACATCCATCAGAACAAGAAAGGTAGAATAATTCAACTCTGTGGACGGTGCTCTGCTGTGAGGAGAAATCTTGGGGAAGGTGAGCCTCATTCAAAGCAACATCACGATCCCTGAAGAGCAGTCACAGCTCACCTGGGATCCAGCTGTAAGGAACCCCACTGCCATCTCCTGGTCTCTGGTGCTCACTGCAGGGAGGCCAGGACCAGCCGGAAGAACTGGCAGAGCTGAGCAGGGAAACAAACCAGGAGCAGGATTAGCGCTGTCCTGCAGCAGCTCGTCCACAGTCGTCTAGTGCCTGACACAGAACCCCAGGAATCATAAGGAGACTCCAGACAGGTAGGTGTGGGTGTACCCTACCCTGTTCTCAGCTGGGAAAAAGGGCCCGACCCAATATGCACTGCCCTTCAGGGCTGTTCACACTCCCAAGTCACACTACGGCAATAACCCCCCTTGAGATTCAGCAACACAATAAGTCACATGTCACTTTTAGGGATTCAGTTTATCTGCTCACTTAAAAAAAAAATCCCTACATGTCAGCTACATATTTCCTGGCAGTTTCTAGAAGGGATGTGAGGGAAAGGAGAAAAAAATGATAAGAGAGCGTGATACCAGATATCCCCCACAGAAATCAGGAGATCGAGCTATAGAAAACAATTTCACTTCATATGTTTCCCACTGAAGTCCAGGAAGTAGCCAGGAAAACCCAGAACTGCACGCTACAGGTAACTTAGTTTATCAACTGCAGGGTTTGTAAAGGAAAGGGGAGGGGGCAGGGCACGAAGCACCCTTTTCTGTGCCCTTTCTTCCTCACTGCTTGCAGCTTACCCTGCTCCTGGAAGGCCTGCGTCCCCTCTCCAGGGTCCTGGTTGAGCTGCTCCTCAGCGCCTTGGTGGAGGCCTTGAATTCCTTCCCCATGGGGCAGCCCCCACTCGGGCTTGACCTCCACAGGCCCCAGGTGGACACTTGGCTCCCAAGGACCTCTGCAAAGTGCTGTCTCCTCCTGCTCTCCCTGCACACGGCACGGAACCTAAGAACAGGCCCCAACACCTATTAGAATGAGGCCTGCATAAGGCTGTTATGAAAGGAGTTGAATTAAAACCTAAAAAAGAGACCCACTGCAGCTGCAGGGGAGACAAAGACAAGCCGGCTCAGCTCTTCCCCAGGACATGAGTGAGAAGGTGAAAAGGAGGCTCAACTGTCTTTATCAGGCACTGAGCAACTTCTATGCATCCATGCCATTTTACAAGGGTCCCTTCTGCCCACCTCAATACTGATCAAATTCCACCATGAACAGTACCACAGAGAGATGTTATTATTATTCCAGTGAGAACTTTAGCCCAAAACACTCACTATTAGAAAAAAGATTCACCAATTACAGATGCTGAAAGTAAAAAATTAAAGCCTAGGGCTTCCCTAGTGGCACAGTGGTTGAGAATCCGTCTGCCGCCGCTGCAGGGCACACGGGTTCGTGCCCCGGTCCGGGAGGATCCCACATGCCGCGGAGCGGCTGGGGCCGTGAGCCATGGCCACTGGGCCTGCGTGTCCGGAGCTTGTGCTCCGCAGCGGGAAAGGCCACAACAGTGAGAGGCCCGTGTACCGCAAAAAAAAAAAAAAAAAAAAAAAAAATTAAAGCCTAGACTGTGCGGTGAATCAGTGAGAAAAAAACTGCTCTAGAAATAGCAAGGAAAACCAGAACTCTCAAGAACAGGCCTTTCCTGGGCCACTTTTAAGCTCCTTGGTAGGGAGTAAACAACAAAACAACCCTCTTAGGACTATACAGGAAGTCAGGGGTGACTGCGGTGGGAAAAGGGAGAACAAAATGAAGACAGGTTTACCTGCAGCAAAACAGTAACGTTCAGTCCTGCCCTCTCTTTCCCAGGCGGCAATCAGGAAACTGTACCAGAGAGGGACAGACACATGGCCAGAGTCCCAAGGGAGCATCTGAGATGCAAAGTCACTCACTACGTGAGCCGTCTCAGCCAACGTCCCAGACGTGGAAACGGCACTGTTCCAGACAATGCTTCTCAGGAAGAATACTCACCAAGTGGAATTCCGGAATTCCCTGCATCACCACATGCATCTCTGCCCAAAGAGGAATGAGTCTACCAGGGCCCTTGAAATAGATCACAACTGCCTTCTTTGGACCCGAGGCTCACAAGGGAAATATGGCCAGGCCTCTGCCCCGATGACCAAAAAAGGAGCTGACAGCCCTTCCACCGGCCCTGCGTCTTCCCTGGGAATGGCTTTCCTTGATGAAAACTCCTCTGCCCTCCAAAATGTACCCCAGATGGTCTGGGAGCAGAGGAGGGAGATTCTGTGCCTTATCCACTCCCACTGCTTCCTCAAACCTCTCGCTTCCCGCACCAACAGAATGAGACCCAGATCCCCCTTCTCACCCACCGCCTTGGCCTCCAGGGCTCCCTCCGTGAAGCCCTCCACCACGGCCACAAGGGCTTTGCCGCTCTCCGGGCTGTGCTCCCGAATCCAGGCGTAGAACTCCCGGGGAAGGATGGTCAGAAACTGCTCCAGCACGAGCAGCTCCAGGATCTGCTCCTTGGTGTGCAGCTCGGGCCGCAGCCACTGGCGACAGAGCTCCTGGAGCTCCCTGAGGGCCTCCTGGGGACCAGCTGCCTCCTGGTAGCGGAACTGCCGAAACCTCAGGCGAAAAGTCTCCGGGCTGGGGCCTTCCCTCGCTCTGCCCCATGGCAACTCTTTCTCCAGTTTTACCACAGGGACACCCATTTGCTGCTGACGATCTTCTGCCATCCCTGGACACTCTTTAAGCATCTTCACACTCCCTCCCAGAAGACTGAGGGTCTGTTGGGAAGACCAGACAGACAATGAGAACAGCATAAATAAGACACAGGGAAGGTCAGGTCATCCCAGTTCTGTTCTCTACGTCAATGAAATTAGGACTTAGCTTATACCCACAAATAGCTTAAAATCTCAAGAGAGAGACAACACTACAATCATAGAAAAATATAAGATGGGTTATAACTAGGTTAGTCACCAGGACCCACTCTTCCAACACTAAATATACATTCAACATGTATCTATGCCTGACCCACAGAAACCAGAAATACAACAGAGAACAAGATAGACAAGGTGCTTGCCCTATGAAACTCACATACTGGTACAGCAGACAGGAAAAAAAAAAAAAATTAGGGAATTCCCTGGTGGTCCAGTGGTTAGGATTCCGCACTTTCACTGCCAAGGGAACAGGTTCAGTACCTGGTGGGGGAAACTAAGATCCCCGCAAGCCCCGTGCGCTCGGCCAAAAATAATGAAACAAATAAATTTAAATTATAAATAAGTTCTAAAAAGGAAGTAAGGAGGGTGTTAATGGGGACAATCAACTTGGAGACGGGATTTCCCTGGTGGTCTAGTGTCCAAGGCTCCTCGCTCCCAGTGCAGGGGGCCTGGTTTCGATCCCTGGTCAGGGAACTAGATCCCACGTGCCACAACTAAAGATCCCCCACATGGCAACGAAGATCCCACGTGCCGCAGCTAAGACCCTGCGCAGCCAAATAAATAAATATTTAAAAAAACAAAAAACATTGGGCTTCCCTGGTGGTGCAGTGGTTGAGAGTCCGCCTGCCGATGCAGGGCACACGGGTTCGTGCCCCGGTCCGGGAGGATCCCACGTGCCGCAGAGCGGCTGGGCCCGTGAGCCGTGGCCGCTGAGCCTGCGCGTCCGGAGCCTGTGCTCCGCAACGGGAGAGGCCACAGCAGTGAGAGGCCCACGTACCGCAAAAAAAAAAAAAAAGGAAAAAAAAAACCTTGGAGATTTGGAGAAGGCTTTTCTGAATAAATAGTGCTTAGGCTAAGACCCAACGAATGAATGAGATGAGCCAATCATTGAAAAAGCATTCCAGGCAAAAGCCTTGGGGCTAGAAATTACTCTGCAGTCTGAGAACAAGCCCCAGTGCAGTGTGGCTTCACCAGGGTGAGGGAGGAAAAGAGCTCAGAGGCAGGCGGAAACCACATTATCGAGGGCCTGGGCACACACTAAGAATTATGGGCTTTACTCTTATTCCTTATTTTAGTGTGGAGATACATGTTCTTCAAAGGTCACTCTGCCTGGGAAGTGTCAATAGAGAATAGATAAGAAGGGTCAAGAAGGGAAACTGCACTTACCGTGGTCCAAGCAGGAGATAAGAGACTTAGATCAATGTGGTGACAAAGAAGCAGACAAAGTCAAGACATCTGGGAGGTAAAACCAATAGACATGCCAGTGGCTAGGATGTGACGGTGTACTCAGCCTAAAGAAAACAAGAGAACAATATATATATATATATATATATATATATATATATATCATTACTTTAATTGATCAAAAGATCTCTAACTTGTGTAGGTTTTACCATTCAGAAAGCATGTGAGCACATACTCTCATTTAATACTCCAAGTGTCTGCTTAATATTCTATTGGAAGTTTCTGTATCTACCTATCTACCTAGGTATCTACCTACCTACCTACCTATCTTAAATCTATTTACATTTTCAGTCTATTCATTTTCTCTGCTGCATCAATTGAGATTTCTCTTTCCTGGCTTTCTAGCTATTGCATTTGTTCATGGTTGCATTTACCGCATTATAGTACGAATGTTTACCCCTGTGTCTCCCTCCGTCTGCCAGATTCCCTTTAGTCAGGAAAGGTCCTCACTCATCTTTTACCCCTAGCACTCCACAAACAGGCTTCCCATGGTTTCTTTAAATGAGCGTCTGGTTCTAGAACGACCACTCTCACTCTTCACAGTGTTCCGCTTTGGTTCAAGAGATCAGGGTCGTGGACACCCCTCCGTTAAGGCAACCCTGGCCGGGCGGGATCAGCCTGGCTCCTACCTGAGCCCAGCGCGGTGCGGCCCCCCGGGTCCCGACCCGCAAAGCCTCGGTGCCGCGGGAGTCAGCTCCGGGGAGACGTGCCGCCCGCGGCGACAGCCTCCCAGCTGCCGAGGCCCGCAGCAGGCCCTCAGCCCGGCCCCGGCCCCGCAGCCCCGCACCTGTGCCGGGCTCGCCCAGGCCCGCGGCGGATCGGAAGTGGGCGACGGACGCTGTCAGACAGGTGCGTCAAGGAAGGGCCCCTTCCGTTTCCCCTCTAGGACTTTCGGAGGCCGGTGCGTCTCGATGGTCGCTCGTCCCCGGGGACCGTTCGGGAGCGCGCGCTGGACCACCAGGGTCTCCTACCCCGCCTACCTACTCCCCTGGAGGCTCGCGGTCGCCAGGCCCCTTTGCGCCTCCGTGCCTTTGCACCTGCGTTCCCCCGGTGGGAAGGACCCTCCGGACGCACCGCCGGGTACCGCGCCTCCCTCAAAGACTTTAGAGACCCGTCGGTCGACAAGTGTTTATTGCAGCCTACGGCGCTTTTTGCGAGGGTTAGGGGCGGAGGGTGATGGAGGGTAGCACCGAGTATTGTGGGTTCACATAAGGGGCCTCCACCCTGGGTAGTGTTGGGGGGGGGGGGGGGAGGGCAGGCGCTAGTCAGGGAAGCCTTCTGGAGGAACCGACACCTGAGCACAGATTTGTTGAGTTTGGGGGGGGGGGCGTAGGCGCAGGCGCTAGTCAGGGAAGCCTTCTGGAGGAACCGACACCTGAGCACAGATTTGATGGATGGACCCAAGAGTGAGGTCAGGTGCCCCCAGCGGAGGGAGTACGACGAGCCCAGCAAATGGTGGGGACTGGTGGCTTTCCCGCACCCTCAGAGCCGCTAGAGCAGGCGCCTGAGCTAGGTAACCTGGAGGCAATGGGAAGCCGCGGAAAGATTTAAAGGCGGGAAGGGACCGATTTTAGAAAGATACTACAGAGAAACCTGCAAGAGAGACTGAGCAAGAGGCGAGGGAGGTGGGGAGATGAGAAGACTGACTGTGGGTTAAACGAAGCTAAATAATGCAGTCCCCGAGAGAAAGGATGAGAGACAGGACTGGGGAATTCGTGAGACTAGAGATCGCAAGGAGAGTTTGGATATCAAACATAATTGGAAAGTAAAATTGGCAAAGTTTAGGGATTGATTGGATCTGGAGGATGAGAGAGAAGGTGGAATCATTTAGTAAATGACAAAGGCTACATCTCATATCAATAAGAGTGGACTTTTAGAAAGCAGACAACTGGTTGGTCATCTGGAAGAAGGTAACGTTGGGTCCATTCCTTATACCACATGCCAGGGCAAAGTCCAGCCCTGCTCACAGGGTCTCCCATCCTTTTATATTACAAATTTCGTTATCAACCCATCTTGGAAATATTGTTGGCTAGCTTCCTCATTCGCTAACATGCTCTCACATCCAAGAGGGACAAGGCTGAACCTTGTCATCGAGGACCAAGAGAAACAGCCTGATGGACTTAGTCTGTCTTGGAAAACTGATCTGTACCTAGCGACTTCAAAAACCATCGTTCAGCTTGCCATGGAGAAGACACAAGGAAGAAGGCATTGTGAAAGAGGCAAGGAGACATTGGATCAGATCACAGGTTTCCAGGTCAGCCTTGGAGAAGAGAAAGGGGCTCCTCTGAACAGGGAAGAAAAGAATCAAAGATGGGTTATGGTCTAGGTTAGGGCTCAGCAAACTTTTTCTATGAAGGGCCAGATGGTAACTATCCTAGACAGAACACATAGTGTGTCGCCTGCTCTTCATTTTTACAATCCTTTAAAACTGTAAAAAGCCATTCTTAGCTCACAGCCAGGGCTGGATTTGACACAAGGGCTGTAGTTTGCTTACCCCTGAAATAGATGATTTTAAAATTATTCTAGAGAAGTGTTTAAGGAGCTCATTCTTAACCTCTTTTCTCAGTGATGTTACCTGCTGAGAGTGCAGGGGACAATGGTAGGCTGGAGCCTAAATAATGGAGTGAAGATTAGAATATCTGTTGTGAGGAATGATGTAGGAAAAAAATCATAGAATGAATGAAAAGATTGTCAAGCAACACTGAATGACTGATATTGAAAACAAAACAAAATAAGTGACAGAATCAATCCACACAATTGTCTATGCAGTTTGGGGGCTAAGAAAACAGCTGGATTAATCCAATATTAGGATTGGTCATAAGGATGATTATGAAAGAATGCCAAGGGCATGGGGGGAATGAGGGCTCTAGTGGGAGAAGGTTGTACTGAGTGACCATGAAGTCCAAGCTGAGTGGGGGAGGGACCGAAACCAACAAGAAAAACACGGAGACCTGAGGAATCAGAGGTTAGGATGAGGCCATGAAGCAGGTTTCAGGAATTTTTTCGGAAATGTTATAGGCAAACTAAGCATAAAATGCATTATCCTGTTTGTTTTCCATAAACGGAATCATACTATATTCTGTTCTGCTCTTTGCTTTTATTCAGTAAACAACATATCTTTCCACATCTACACGTACTGATCTACCCCACTCTTTACCAGCTTACAGTATTCCACTGTATGTTCTGTGTTCCCCATGATTTATAAAGCTTATCAGTGGACATTTAGGCGGTTTCCAGCATTCGGATTTACCAGAAACCTGGATGAACAACGTCATACAGAATTCCTTGTGCACTTTTTGGCAAATAAATCTAAAGGATGAGTTCCCATACGTGGAATTACGGGATCTAAAAGTCACATGCATTTAAAATTTTGTCAGCTATTGCCAAATTATCCTGCAAAGAGTCTGCACCAATTTCCACTCTCACAAACAGTGGGGGATAGCGTTCATTTTCCCACAATCTCATGAACGCTGGATGTCATCAAACTTTTTCATCTTTGCCAATCTGATGAGTGAAATCAGTGATGCCCACATTTTTGTTTGGACTCTTCTTAATTATAAGTGAAGTCGTTTTTCCTACCTTCATTAGCTACTTGAATTTCCTTTTCTGCAAACTGGCTATTTTTTACCCTTTCCTCTGTTTCTGTTGGGTTGTTTATCTCTTTCTTACTGATATATGAGTTTTTTGAAAATTAAGGAAAATAGCCCTTTTTCAAATGTTTTGCAAATATTTTCCTATTTGCCTTTTGTCTTTCTTAATGGAACTCTGTGCACTGCAAAATATTATATGTTTTACGTATTCAAATTAATCCTTCCTTTTTCTTTAAATCTTCTCCATTTTGTGCCTTCCATCCTCCAAGATGATTTTTTAAATCCCCTGTACGCACTTCTAAGACATTTATTGTTAGGTTAAATCTGAGATCTGTCGGAAATGCATTCTGATCAAAGGAAAAAAAAAATAAAGAAAATCCAGCCAGTCTTTTTTTTTTTTCCAAATGGCTAGCAAGTTTTCCTCAACCATTTATTGAAGGATCAGTAATCCTTCCTGGGCTTCCCTGGTGGTGCAGTGGTTGAGAGTCCGCCTGCCGAGCCAGGGGACACGGGTTCATGCCCCGGTCCGGGAAGATCCTACATGGCGTGGAGTGGCTGGGCCCGTGAGCCATGGCCGCTGAGCCTGTGCATCCGGAGCCTGTGCTACGCAACGGGAGAGGCCACAACAGTGAGAGGCCCGCGTACCGAAAAAAATAAAAATAATAATAATAATAATCCTTCCTGATTTAAAAGGTTAATTTTATCAAATATATTCCTCTATAAAGTAGGCTTTATATTAGTACTCTTATTCTGTAATCTATCTGTATCCTGTGTCAGGACCTGCCAAACTGTTTTACTTACTGCAGTTTTATGTTGTGCTTTTGCATCTGGAAGAGATTTTCTATATCACTGACCCTACTTTCCCATGGTTTAAAGAAGAGATTGTTGGAGAAAAATTAAGAATGGTACCCTGAAAACTGCAAAAGAAACCAGATAAATTCTGACCTCATGCTCCTGGCCCTGAGAGACCAGACTAGAACTAAGGATTGCTAGGGAAATGGCATTGTCAGAAAGAAGGCAGATTTCAGGAAGATGAGCAAATGAAGGCTTTTTTTTTTTTGGCAAAGAACATGGTACTGAATGAATTGAGAGCGTGGGGGCGGGGCAAGAAAGAAGGGAAAAGGGGAGGAAGGGAAGGAGAAAGGGACAGATGCAGAGGGAGAGAGGAAGAAAATTATCTGACAAGAGACAGAAGAGATGAGGTTACGAGGTGAAATACAGAAAGCCGGGAGAAGTTGTCATGACCATAAAGAGGAAACAGGTTAAGAGGCACCAGAGTTTACTTTAAAATTTTAAAAACCTGTACTGAACATCAGAGGGCTTCACCTCTCTGGTTCTTTAATAAGAAAATGGGTAGAATCATAGCTGGCCTGTCTTTAGCAGGACAGAGTGAAATGGCAGATGTGAACGTTGTTTTAGCACTAACTATAGAAATGAAGGTTATAGGAGTTCAGAGTGCTGGTATGGACAGTGTTGGATATTTGACTTATATTACCCAACTTACCCTTTAAGATTTAATATGAATTTTTGAATAGGTAATACATGTACATGATTCAAGAGCCAAACTCATATAAGAAGTTACACACAGAACTATTACTCCTCCCTCTGCCCACTCCACGCACCCCATTTTTAAAAATAAATTTATTTATTTATTTTTGGCTCTGTTGGGTCTTCATTGCTGTACACGGGCTTTCTCTAATTGTGGCGAGCGGGGGCTACTCTTCATTGCAGTGCGTGGGCTTCTCACTGCATGGCTTCTCTTGTTGCAGAGCACGGGCTCTAGGCGCATGGGCTTCAGTAGTTGCAGCATGTGGGCTCAGTAGTTGCGGTTCGCGGGCTCTAGAGCGCAGGCTCAGTAGTTGTGGCACACGGGCTTAGTTGCTCTACGGCATGTGGATCTTCCTGGACCAGGGCTCGAACCCGTGTCCCCTGCATTGGCAGGCGGATTCTCAACCACTGTGCCACCAGGGAATCCTCCACTCCATTTCTTAATCTACCCCCTTCTCTAAAGATTCATTCATTTATTATATGGTCTTTAAGTGTTTATTTATTTGCAAATACTAATATTCACAAATTTCCCTACCTTCTCCCCTTTTCTTACACGAAAGGAAATATACTAGATACCTTGCTTATCATGTAATATGTCCTAGAAAATATTCCATATCAGTACTTAGAGACCTTTCTCATTCATTTTTTTTTTAAGCTGGTGTCGGTGTAACATAATTTATTTAAAGTGTCCCCTGTTGATGAGCATTTGAGTTGCTCCTAATCATTTTTTACTGCAAAAGCTGCAGCAATTAATCACCCTGCACCTAAGTCATTCTTAAAGATGTGTGCAAGTATACCTGTTGGATAAATCCTTAAATTGAGACTTTGGTTTGGGTTAAAGCATTACTGCTTCTGCAGTTTTGTAGGTATTGCCAGATTCCCCTCAGGAGGGCTGTATCATTTTGCACTTCCATCTGCCATGTATGATGGTGCCTATTTCCCCACAGGTTAGCCAACACAACGTGTTGCATCAAACTTTTGATTCTTGCAAATCTCACGGGGAGAAATGGCATTTCGGTAGTGTTCTCGATTTTTTGAAACTTTTGCACTTTTTTTTATTTCTTTAACACATTAATAATAGCTTAATAATAGTTATTTTAAAGTTTGTGTCTGCTAAATCCAATATTTGGATCATTCTGTCATCTGCTTCTATTGGTTGTTTATTCTCTTGTCGGTCACATTTCTTCATGTCTAGTAATTTTGCATAGTATGCCAGTTATTTGTGCATAAAGGAAGAGGCTCTAGGCCTTCCACAATGGGGCCATGCTTTGTTCCAGAGTGTCTATTCCAGTAAATAATAATAATAATAATAATAATAATAATAATAATAAAGCATTGTCCCATCATGGAAGAAGTTGATCATCTCATATCAGTTTTCCTAAGCAGATGTTGCTCCTTCCAATAGATTCCTTTTCAATAGAAAGGAACTTTATTTCAGTAAAGTTTTCTTGAATTTTAGTTTTAAATATTTGTTCTGTTCCTTTATTTCCGTTTTCTTCCTCAGGGACTCCAATTTTACCTATGTTGGACATACACACCTGAAGAACAGGCACTAGGTGTTTTAGTTAGATTGTTTTTAGTATTTTATTACATTTCTCTCCAAAAGGTATCTTGGGAGTTTCTTTCTTATAGGGAGATGATGACAGCCTAGTTCCAGTCTTTTCACTTTTCCACGTCACAAAACCCTATAGGAACAATGTAGAACTAGGCATAGAGAAAATCTACAAACTCTCAAATATGTAACGGTGGGCCAGACCACCCTAAACCAGCAGAATGAGTATGGAAAGCCACAACTGGGAGATCAGCATGGCTGGAACAGTGGGGTGGTTATACTCTGTTCAGTTTTTATTTTACAAAACTCACGTCACTTCATCATTTCCTAATATTCCTCCCTCCCTTCCTGCCCTCTAGGCTGCAGGCTGGTGTTTTGTTGTGTTTTGTTTGTTCATTTGTTAGTTTTTTGGCCATGCTGTGTGGCATGTGAGATCTTAGTTCCACAACCAGGGATCGAACCTGTGCTCACTGCACTGGAAGCTCAGAGTCTTAACCACTGGACCGCCAGGGAAGCCCCTTGTTTGTTTTTTGAGGCATGGATTAACAGACAGTAGTCATCATTTTATTGAAAACACTTGTCCAAAAAAATCACTCAGAAAGCTCAGAAGAATTCAGAAAACTTTTAACAAATTTCAAACACACGCAAGATAGAATCACTTTGAGCAGTGGAAGTGGAGGGTTGATTTGACACTCAAGAGCCTCATCAAAAGTAGCAGAGACTGGTGGAGGCAGGGGAGCCACACACAGTGACACGTGTGCACTCACACAGCTTGATGAAGGGCAGGGCACAGACTATCTCGGTCTAGATAACTGTTTCCTCCTTCAGCAGCGTCTCCCTCTGTATGGAGCTCAGTTCTCCTCCCAAACTCTCCACGTTTTCCAGGTGCGAGATCTCTTGGGTCTCCTCAGTACTCTGGGAAATGGGCAACAAATGACAGCTAAGGCAGGCTGTTTCTTGAACGAGGCAGATGGCACCTGGGTGACAGCAAAAGTTTGGGTCAGGTGAGAGAGAGTGTCAAGCTCAGTGCCTGCCCTAGAGGTCGGAAACTCCCTCCTCTGACCTGACTCCCTCTGGTCTGCACCTGCCCTCCTAGTTCTCCCCTCCAATAAAAGGACAAGGCATACAAATAGATGGATAAACTCATGGAACCGTGGCCAGTGCCGGAAGGCATCTTAGCAATTGTCTAACCATTAATAGGTAAGAAAACAAGGTTTCAGAGAGGAAGGTCAAACACAAAGCCCAGGCCTCTTCATGGCCAACTCACTCAAGACCCTCAGTAAGTGAAAGAAAGGAAGAAGAGAATCAATGTTCATAAGAACAAACGGAGATATCTTGAGTGGATAATAAATGCTGTATTACGGCTAAGACAAAGATACAAGACAACTATTTTCAGCTTTATAGCAGACTAGCTACTCTCCCACTAAACACAACAAAAATTCTAAATATTTCTTCAAAAACCTATTATTTATAAATGCATCATCGAGCTGACATCAGAGTAAGACATTCTTAGACACCAAAACCATAGTGATAACAGGAATCTGAAGGGTTAAGCAACCACATAATTAGCCTTCACCTTGGAGACATGCGCTCAACCCAGGTGACCCAGAGTTTCCATTCTGCTGGCCTTTTGGGACACGGAAAAATAAAAGGAAAGCCCAGGTCCTGCTCACAGTGGGGAAATATAAGAGTCGGCCACATGAAACTGGAACTGCAAAGTTACCTGCATTGACTGAGATTTCACAAACACAGGCTAGCTGTTATGTGGGTCTGCAGCTAAACTAGCAATACCTAAGTATTTTGGTTGTGATCCTAGGGTAGTTCTGCACCCAAGCACCGGGCAGAAGCAAATGCAAATCCTTTTTTGAGGAAACACTTTAAATATAGGCCTCAAATAATTTCCAACAACGACAACAAAAAAATTTTCCAAGGAAAATGAGTTCACAGTCAAAATCCACAGACCATACCAAGAAACAAGGTACCACAGCAAGAGCCTATAGAAACAGCTGTAGAAACAGCAGCAAATAATTCAGTTGTTAAACTTATAAGACAGAATATAAAATAAGTATGTTTAACATGTATAATAAAAATATATTCAGAGAACATATTTTAAATATGAGGAGAAAAGCATATAAGTAACAAGATTTACAGGAAAATACAACTTCTAGTTATAAAATAGATTAACTGAAATAAAAATTTAATGGCTAGGTTAAATAGACCAGACACAGCTAAAAAGTGAATGGGTAGGGACTTCCCTGGTGGTCCAGTGGTAAAGAATCCACCTTGCAATGCAGGGGACATGGGTTTGATTCCCGCTCAGGGAACTAAGATCCCACATGCCGTGGAGCAACCAAGCCTGCATGCCACAACTACTGAGCTCGCGTGCCTCAACTAGAGCCCGCGGGCCACTAACCACAGAGCCCACGGCTCTGGAACCAGTGCACTACAACTATAGAGCCCACACGCCCTGGAGCCTGCGCGCCACAACTAGAGAAGAGAAAACCCACATGCCACAACTAGAGAGAAGCCCGCGTGCCACAACTAAGACCCAATGCAGCCAAAAATACATTTAAAAAATAAATAATGATAGGGCTTCCCTGGTGGCACAGTGGTTGGGAGTCCGCCTGCCGATGCAGGGGACGCGAGTTCGTGCCCCGGTCCAGGAGGATCCCACATGCTGCGGAGCGGCTGGGCTTGTGAGCCATGGCCGCTGGGCCTGCGCGTCCGGAGCCTGTGCTCCGCAACGGGAGAGGCCACAACAGTGAGAGGCCCGCGTACTGCAAAATAATAATAATAATGATAATAATAAATTAATCTTTTTTAAAAAAGTGAATGGGTAAACTTGAAGATACATCTATATAAGGTATTCACAATGCAGCCCAGAAAGACAAAGACAGAAAATATGAAAGAGAAATTAGGACATGCAGGATAGAGTAACAACGTCTAACAGAAATCTTCCTGGAGTTCCACAAAGGACAAAAAGAAAGGGAAAGAAAATGGGGAGGAGATAAAAATGTTTTACAAATGCTGAAAGATATCACTCCTCAGCTTCATTTCACACATCAAATCATAACACAAACATCCATACCCTGCAAAATACCAAAAAAAGTCTCAGAGGAAAAAAAGTTGCCTCAAAAAGAATGATATTTTTAAAGAGAGCCAACTTCTCAACAATAAGAACAGAAGTGGAAAAGTAATAGAATAATATCTTGAATGCTGAGAGAATAACTGTTAACTTCAAAATGTATATTCAGCAAAACTAACTTTAATAAACAAAAATGAAAGATAATTTCATACAAACAAAATATGAGACAGTGTATCTCTAACTGACCCTCATTCAAAAAGGCAAAAAAGGGCTTCCCTGGTGGCGCAGTGGTTGGGGGTCCGCCTGCCGATGCAGGGGACACGGGTTCGAGCCCTGGTCTGGGAAGATCCCACGTGCCGCGGAGCAACTAGGCCCGTGAGCTGCAACTGCTGAGCCTGCGCGTCTGGAGCCTGTGCTCCTCAACAAGAGAGGCCATGATAGTGAGAGGCCCACACATCGCAATGAAGAGTGGCCCCTGCTTGCTGCAACTAGAGAAAGCCCTCGCACAGAAACGAAGACCCAACACAGCCATAAATAAAATACATTAATTGTCAAAAGTAGAGTCATCATCATTATCATTATTTAAAAAATGATATAAATGAACTTATTTACAAAACAGAAACAGACTCACAGACTTAGAGAACAAACTTATGGTTACCAGGAGGGAAGGGTTGAGGGAGGGATAGTTAGGGAGTTTAGGATTGACAGGTACACACTGCTATATCTAAAATGGATAACCAACAAGGACCTACTGTATAGCACAGGGAACTCTGCTCAATATTATATAACAACCTAAATGGGAAAAGAATTTGAAAAAGAATGGATACATGTATAAATGAATCACTTTGCTGTACACCTGAAACACAACATTGTTAATCAACTATACTCCAATATAAAATAAAAAGTTATAAAAAAATCATTATAAAGGATGTACTTCAGGATAATGATCTTAGATAGAAGGTCTGAGGTTTGATGAGCAGCTAAATTGGTAAATATGTGGGTAAATTTAAACAAGTATTAAATGCCTATAATAATAATAATATATAGAATTTTTTAAATAAACAGAAGAAACCAAAACACTAGACAAAATACCATATAAGTTGGGGGGGAGGGGCCTTGAATTATTTATGAAGAGAATAAATATGCTGATTAACTAAGCATGTTAAAATGTCAACAGTAACTATGACACAAATGAAAACAGACCGTATAATTTCCAAACTAACGAGGGAGGAAATGTAATGAGAATTATATACATAAAATTCAATCAACCCAAAGCAAGGCAAGTGAGGTAGAGGGTGGGGAGCAGAAAAAACTGGAAGCACAAACTAAGGTGGTCGGAAAAATACAAATATATCAGTAGTCACAATAAATGTAAATCAACTAAATGCTCCAGATAAAAGACAAAGATTATAATAAGACTAGATGAAAAAATCCAATCATAAGCTATCTATAAGAGACATCCAAAACATGAAGACAGAGACAGGTTTAAAGTAAAAGACATAACAGGCAAATAATAACCTAAAGAATGTAGAGGTAGTTATAGTAATATCAGATAAAACAGACTTTACAACAAAAAGCATTATAAGAAATAAAAAGTATCACAGCATGATGATAAAAAGTTCAATCCACTAGTAAAATATAGCAATTCTAAATCAAGGTTTAAACAAGATAATAAAAAAGCTTGATGTAAAGTTTATAGATAAAAGGTTGCATTCACCATGAGACATGAAAACGGACCTCAGACTAGGCTATAAAGCAAGTCAATAAATCTGAAAATATTAGGACTATATAAACCATGATCTCTCATCAAATTGAAACTAAGTTAAAATCATTATCACCAAGATACAATAAAAATTCTATGCTTAGAATTTTAAAAGTATATTTTTAAATAATTCACGGATCAAAGAAAAAATCATAAGGGGAACAAGAAAATATCTGAAATCGAACAACAAAAGATATTACACATCAAAATGAGAGCTGCAAATAAAGATGCAATTCTTAGAGGGCAGCTGAAGCTTTAAATGCCTACTTAGAAAAGAAGAAATAATCAATGAGCTTAGATCCTGATTTAGGAAGCTGAGAAAGGAACAGCAGAATAAATACACAAAAAAGTAGTAGGGAGGGAAGTTCAAAATAAGAAGCAAAAAGTAATTAAATAGAAAACAAACAAGGTTTGTTTTCAAGAAAGCTAAGAAGCTCGTTTTTTGAAAACACTAAAAAAAATCTGATAAACCTCTAACAAACATAGTAATGAAAAAAGAGAAAATTAGGTGTGAAAAAAGTACATGACTACAGCGACTTCCCTGGTGGCACAGTGGTTAAGAATCCACCTGCCAATGCAGGGGACATGGTTCGATCCCTGGTCCGGGAGCATCCCACATGCCACCGAGCAACTAAGCCCATGCGCCACAACTACTGAGCCTGCGCACTAGAGTCCGCGAGCCCCAACTACTGAAGCCCCCATGCTGCAACTACTGAAGTTCGCGCACCTAGACCCCGTGCTCCACAACAAGAGAAGCCACCGCAATGAGAAGCCCGCGCACCACAACGAAGAGCAGCCCCCTCTCACCACAACTAGAGAAAGCCCGCGCGCAGCAATGAAGACACAACGCAGCCAAAAAAAAATTTTTTTAAGTACATAACTACAGATGCAGCACAAATTAAAGGTTAAAACAGAAAACATTGAGTAATTTTATGTCACTAAAATTTAAAACTTAGATAAAATGTATAAACTTAGAGAAATATATAAATTACCAAAACTGACTCAAGAAGAAATAAAATATCTGAATAGTCCTATAATCATGAAAGAAACTCAGTCATAAACTTACAATTCTCCCATAGAGGAATGCCATGCTTCTATAGGAAAGCTTAGTTATACAATTAAATACTCAAGGTGGTAAAAATGAATGAAGCTTAGTTCCTCATATTAACATGGAGGAATCTCAAGATTATGCTGATCAAACATAGCAAACTCCAAAAGAAAAAATACAGTTTGATTATATTCATATAAAGTTTTAAAGCATGCAAAACTAAATAATACATTGTTTAAGGATATATATGTGTAGTAAACATGATTGGCATAAATTTCTGAAGAATTGAATCCAGAGGGGAGAGAAGAGGAAGAGACCAGGAACAGCCACATGGTAGAGGGGGGAAGACTTCAAAGATATTGAGTACTTAATGTTCTAACATGTTTCGTTAATTTTGACAAACCCATTTTTTTTTTCACATTTTAAAATCTCTGAAATGAGGATATACCTTACAAGCTCTAGCACCTTAGAATTATACTTGGTATCAACTTTTCTTTCTCAGTGGCACACAAAATAAGGGTGTAACTTATAAACGATGGATTCGACAAAACGTGGCTAGTTCTTAAACTATATGGTGGAAATATGGGTGTACAGTTTATTTATAATTACTTGTATCTTACAGATATACTATAAACATTCTTTGTTATATAGTCAATGTATAATAAAATCAAGTTAAAATAGGTTCTGATCATGGGTCAGGTTAAAAGAGTGGGAAGAAGGTTAGGAGTAGGGACAAAATTAGACGGGATTAAGAATTTCGATGATGACGGGTGGTAAAGAAAAAGCGACTGAGTGAGGAATAAGATCACAGATTTCAAGATAAAGAGACAGGAATAGAAAGCCTTAGGAACCGGGATGATGGTAAGGGAGAGTCTGAAAGTGTGCAAGTTTGGTTCTAAAGTCAAGGAGCATAAGAATGGGGAGGATGAGGGTGGGGGACAGGGCTGAGGCCCTAGAGCAGTGCTGTCCAGTAGAAACTTCTGCGTCCACACCGTCCAATGTGGAAGCCACTAGGCACATAATAATGTGGTTTTTGAACATGTGAAGTGTGGCTGACGTGACTGAGGAACTCAATTTCTAAATTGATTTCATTTTAATTAAATAGCCACAAGTGACTACGGTTTTGAACAGCACAGCTCTAGAGCATCCACAGCTCCTGAATCCAGACAGAGGGCAGGGAGAGGACACCAGCCCTGGGACACTCACCAGCCACTAGGAACAGAAGGATGCTAAAGCCCAGGACGTAGTAAGGCCACTGCACGGAGAACTGCGGGGGGCTGGGCTTCATCCGTAGACTCCGGATCTCCAGGGCATGCAGCAACAAGGCCAGGAAGGCACAGGCCCCTGTGGGTCACAGGGCGGCAGCCTTGCTCTCGTCCCGTGGCTCCCACCTCCACTCCAGCCTTCCTACACCTGTGTGGCTCCTGCCCACACCCTTGCCCCTTCAGAGCCAATAACCTCCACCCCACATGCCTGTCTCGCCCTCCTTCCCAACTCATCTCAAAGCCCGTGTGCCTCACCTCCCAGGGGCCCCATAATCAGAAATCCCCTTCCCGGTACCCTCTGTGCCTGTGCTCTTGGCTGACTCCAGATGGGGCCCCCTAGTGTGCCGCTTTGGACGAAACTCAACCTGATTTTCCCACTGTGAGCGTTCCACCTCCTCCATCTGATGGGAGCCTCCCAGGGTAGGGCCTTGGTCAGCCTTTTAAAGTCAAAAGGTTCCAGAGGGCAGAGATGATCTCTTCCATTCGTTCATCCGAGAAACATTTGTATTTCATTTATATTCTATATTTCAATTCTATTATAACCCTGTACCAGATTCCATGACAGTTGCTGGGATAGAGATTACAGGAAAAAGACCCCCAGACAGATGACACCAAGCCAAGGCTCTGAGGACTGTGTCCGCTGGGAGTGCAGAGTTAGGATCAGCCCCAAAGCGGGGGGATCACAAACCCCGAGGGGGCGGGTTGGGGTGGGCTACTTCATTGAGAGGGCAGTGGAGGAGGGGGCCCTAAAAATCCCCTCTCCAGAGACCACCCGCCCCCCTATCCGGCCGTCTCCCCAGATCCCCCACCCACAAGGCTGGGGCCCACCTGCTGCTCCCCACCTGTGAGGAAGCTGATGAAGGCTGACACAAGATTGTGCTTCCGGGTCCTCGGAAAGAGCCGAGATGCAAAGGACACCATGACGACAGTGGTGAGGAAAGACAAGATGACGGCGGACAGCAGGAAAACACGGCCCACGATGATGTAAACTGCAGGGGAGGGAGGGAGAGCAGGCTGGCGCCGGGCACCCTGGCCCAGAGGGCAGAGCCCTGCAGAGCCTGGGCAGGGGTGGCCCGGGAGCCTGGTTGCCATCAGGTCCCAAAGCGTGGCCTGGGACCAAGGCTCCGACCCGGCTGCTTTGCCCCCAAGCATGCCCTGGGCCCACCATCTTGTTCCCCATGACATGAAAAAAAGGTTAGATGGGCAATTTCAGACACCGAAATTATTAACCAAATCTTAACAAATACTGTTACGTGAATCTGGTTGTATCAAAGCGTAGGGGAAATCCATGTATTGTTTGGGAAAAAACAGTGGCTTTAATAAACAACATAAAATGAAACTGTCATGATAAAATTTGTTGCATGTGGAAATGTGAAGAATTGCATCTGCATTAGTCACACTGAAATAAGTCACTGGTGGAAAATCAGAACTCTGTGAGGTCAGGATATTCTGAACTCTGCAAGGGAGTCCCTCACACCCCTATTTAATTATCCACGTTAACAGGAGTAGTGAAACAGACCGAGGATCAAGGTGAATTCATTCTCCTGCTGTTGGCATGATTCAGACCTTGTTAAGGTGAGTCTGCATGACCTCCTGAGCGTGCAGAGGTGAGCAGCTGGGGGAGGGACAAAGAGACAAAGGTGTTGAAGACCCAGATATTCTAGGACCTACCCTGGGGTTAAACCAGGGGTTCTCTAGTAAGGGCAGTACTGCCCCCACAGGGGATGTCTGGCAATCCCAGGAGGTAACGGTGGGCATCACAACTAAGGTGGGGGGGCGCTAATGGACTCTAGTGGGGAGAAGGCAGGGGCGAATTCAGTTCTGTCCTAGCTGCCCCCACCAGTCTTCTGTCACCCCCCAACGCCCACGCTGGTCCCGTCTCCCTCGCCCCCATCCCTGCCTCCATCCCCCCCCCTACCGGGTAAGGGTCGTGGCTTCCAGCACTTGATATGGAAGCAGTTCTCAAAGAGGCCACTGAAAAACACTTCCTGGGACTCCTCATTCACCAGACGAACCCAGAAGGGGAAGATGGAGACCAGCAGTATAAGCAGGTAGCCCAGGGAGGTCAAGGCAGGGGCTATAGCCCAGGTGAACCCCTTCATGTCTTTGTCCTCTAATGTCAGCATCACCTGTGGAGGGGAACAATGAAGGGGGGGGGTCTCACGCAGCACAGGGTGAAGGAGATGATGCCAGTGGACATGTTAGCACACGTGAGGCTCGAGAAATGTTGATTTCTTTGCCTTGATTAAACTTACAGCCTTACAGACCTCTTCAGTAGGCCTAAACAATGCATAAAACATTTTCTGCCACTAATTCACTGGGCAATCTTGAGCGTGTGGGGTCCCTTCTTTGAGTCTCAATTTCCACCTCTGTAAAATTTCCACCTCTCCCAGCTCTAAAGTTCTAACCTCTCAGTTCTGTTGACACCCACCCACTGGCCACAGAAGAACCTCTCCAGTCAGCTGTCAGCTACTATGTGCCTTTTGAGATTTCAGAATGAGGACCAGGGCAGAGATTAAAACCAGGGCCTGAAGTGCCTTTACTCAGTGACTGGCCTTTTCTCAGGACATGGGGTATAGACGGACAGGGGTCCACCTGGCCTGGAGGAGCCCTCTGCTGAAAAATGAGCAGAAAATATGCACACAGAAAGTTTTAAAAACAGTTTTAGAGTTTCACAGACGCTCCTGAAGCCCTAGGTACCCTCTAGTCCTGGAGGTCAAGACCCTCAGTTAAGGATCCCTCATAACTTCTCCATCACCACCAGCTGTCATTAAGGATATCTTCTTGGAAGGAGCACCTGTGATGTGGAAGCTAAGTGCCGACAGCTGGATTTGGTTCTGGAAGCCCGTGACTGTGTCCCAGCTTTATCACTTGCTGGCTGCGTAACCTCGGGGAACTGGCTAAAAAACTCTCAGGACCTTGGGTCCCCATTTGGAAAAAAGAGGAAATAACACCTGCCTAGTAAGGTCCTTGCCAGGGCCAAGTGAAATGCTGCCAACGATGTGTCAAGCACAGTGCGACTGTCAAGCACAGTGCTTAGGGCCCAGGCGTTTGGTTAAATTTGGAGGGCGAGGGGCAGCCAACTTCTCCTAAAATGCAAGCATTCCTGAGGGAAATTCACATTCACAACCTAAGGGCAAATGCATTCAACTAGTCTGCTTTCCTCTCCAGGCTGGCAGGGGAAGGAGAGGGGCGGTTGGAAGCCTGGGTGCGGCAGGCAGGGTGGGCCCTGTCCGGGTGGCCCCCAATGACCCTGGCCACACGGCGGTGCAGAATGGTGACATCAGGGGGTGAGAGACAGGACATGGGAGGTGGAGGACACCCCAAGACAACAGCCCTTCTTTCCAAGTCATGCCCAGAGCCAGGTCTGGAGGCTCCTGCCTAAGCAGAATGCCTGGCAGCACCAAGCTTCGCAGCTGCGCACTGCTGTGCGCAAGACAAGGCCCTCGGAGTGAGGGGTTTCCCTCTCCTCTCTGCCCCTGTGTGTGCCCACGCAGTGGGGCCCCTCCACACTCCTCATGCGGATGCCCCTCTCACTGCAGCCTGCAGCAAGGAGTGTCTCTGAGGCTTTGAGATCTGCTGATCACCATAGCAGAACAAGCCTGATGGTAGAGGGCAGAGGAAATCTGCTGTCTATAAAAGGGTTAACAACTGTTAACCTTCGACTGCTGTCAGAGTGCTTGGAAACTTTCTAAAGCACTCTCTCCTCTTTCTGTTGTTCATTACTTTCTTTTTTTCAGGCCTTCCCCCCTGAAAAATTTATCCTGCCATCTCTGCAAAGCTTCCCTTTCGATCTTCCCTCCACCCTCTGGCCAGTACTGATGAGCCACCTGAACTTCAGGGCCTCGGTGTCCTCTACGCTAAGAGGATGAAGACCAGAGAGCCTTGAGTCCTGGCTCTAAAGCTCTCCAGGTAGGAGTCATGTCGGCATCTTGACCCCCATCCTCTGGATGGAATGGAGAACCCTGGACATTTTCTGTTGACGGTCTGAGCCCCTTCCTGCTCCCCCACCCCCCCAATGAACCTCAACGTGTCTAAAGCTGACCTCAGTGTCTTCCCTATTTTAGTCACCCTCTCCGTCCCCCACGCTCTAGCCTGGAGCTCCTGCCGGCTTCTCCATTTCTCCCACACTTCCACCTCATCAGCATTCCTCACCTTCTCAGTTTTTCTTTCATAAAGTTTCCCACGCACCCAGCCTCCTGCCTCCACACCTGCCATGTCTCCCTCCATTCCCGGAACACCACAGTCACCCCAAGCACCTCCAGCCTTTCCCGGGGGGAGGGGGTGCGGTGCCCTCACTTCACCTCTAGACCTTTTAAATCCCACATCTTCTGCAAAGCTCAGCTTGGTCCTGTCCACTCCATGGACCCTCCCAGCCACCAGCCATTAACCATTCATTCCACAAAAGTGAACTGTGTACTTACTGGGCGCCCCATGCTCAGCTTAGGCCAATGGGGAGAATCAGGGATGAAAAAAGACAGGAACTTGCAGGCTCTTGGTAACTACTGGGGAGAAGAGACACATAAACTTGTCACGCTGGACAGCGCTTTCCCTCCCCCCCCTCCCCCGCCTGGGGTGACTGAGAGACCAGGCGCCACCTCTTAGCTGTCTGTCCCCTTGCCCACCCCAGGCTGCTCTCCAGTGAGGGGGACCTTGTGGGCCTTTCTCCGGGGATAGGCCAGCATCCTGCATGGAGCAGCCCTCAGTGCTGGTTCTGGACGATTGTGCACCGGGGATATACAATTAGGGGACACACTGATATAAGCCAGACTCAAAGGACCATAGACATGTTCATATAAACGGGGATTTGGAGAACCCTTTGTACTGATGGGGAAACAGCTGGAAAGAAGAATGGACTGGTCCAGGATCCCAGGCTCAGTCAGAGTGGAGGCAGGGACCACAGTCCTGCACAGCTGCCCCTCCCTCCTCACCTCTTCACCAGTCGCCACTGGCCAGCAGTTCAGTTCGGGATTCCCAAAAGTGGGGGTCAGGGAGAGAGAATGGGGGGAACAGAAAACTACCAACTTTTTGCTTTGCCAAGGGCATTCGAAACAAAGCAAAGCTACTGCCATCTACTATCACCAATTGTTTTCATTATTATTTTGAAAAGGACCTATGGCACTGCAAAGTAGAAGCGCCGCATGCTCCGTGGGGCCCGGGTTCCCGCTGGCGGGGTCTCCCTGAGCCATCGCGCTGCAGCCCGAGCGCAGCCCAGTCACCGGCCCAGGCCCTGCGCGTGCCAGGGACAGCTGAGGACTACACAGGGCGAATAACGAGAGGAGCAACATAGAGCGCATCTCAGGCTGGACTGGGAAGAGACCAGGAGGGAACCGTCTGGGCCGCGAGGAGCCTCACTCCCCACTTTTCCCGCCAGTAATTTGAGGCTACTTGGGCTGCAGACTAGCTTAGGTTC